GGTTCAAGCAGCAGCAGTAGCTATGGGAGTGGCAGAAGGTTTTAATGATTGCCAGGAAACAAAGCTTAGCAGGAGAGGAGAGCCAGAGAAGTGACAGGGAAGCTACAGGTTACAACAGATTTGTGAACTTAGCCAAGCACAGTGGTGGCAGGGCCTAGCTGCTACAAAGAAGTTATGTTTTAGACAATACTCATGTGCATGGAAAAAACAAACAAACAAAAAAAAAAAACCTCGAGGACTGTATTTGTGACTAATTGTATAACGGGTTATTTTAGTTTCTGTTCTGTGAACAGTGTAAAGCATTCCAACAAAGGGTTTTAATGTAGATTTTTTTCCCCGCACCCATACTGTTGATTGCTAAATGTAATAGTCTGATCATGACGCTGAATAAATGTCTTTAAAAAAATTTTATAATCTCGTTTTATAATGGTGATTTTTGTCTGTTGTTAATATCTTCAGTTGTTTCAGCCGATCTGTCATAAGGAGGAAGTAACCATGAGCTAATCAACCACCAAGAAACTCTTACGGGATGACTTTTTTTTTAAAGAAAGAAACAGCATCATTACTACAAATCTGGCACTATTGTTGTTAATGCCACCAAGTCCATTCTGACCAATAGAGACCCTGTATAGATTTTCCAAGAAGTGCTGGTGGATTTGAACATATCAGGATTTATTTTCTTTGCCCAGAAAGAGTTATTCTTGTATTTCTGAAATGCCATTAGTATCTTTTAGTCATTGTTATCAAAGGAAAGAAAAGAGGAAAAATGAATTTTTATTTTTAAGAGACTAGAGAAATGGTACTAGATTGGGAGTCAAAAGGCAGGGCGTGATGGCTAGTTTTATGTGCCAATTTGGCTAAGCTTTGCTGTTGTTATCTGGTATCAAGTTGGCTCCCAATTCATGGGAGACTCCATGCAGCAACCCCAGGAAAGGTTGAGGATCAGACAGTGGTAATTCACAGGGTTTTCATTGGCTGATTTTCAAAAGCAGGTGGCTTGGCTTTTCTTCCTACTCCATGTTACTGTGAAAGTGCTGTTGAAACCTGTTTAATATCATAGCATCACACAAGGCTCCAATGACAGAAAGTTGGGGGCTCCATTTGAGGTGCATTGCCCAGGAACCAAAC